AAGTGGAAGATTCAAATCACTGAGTCAGCCCCTTGCCTATGATGTGAGATTAAGTTTCTGGTTAGTGCCAGAGATGGGACCACCGCCTAAATTACTTGACTCCAGAATAAAGAAACTAGAAATAAGTACACCCTCCAGAATTCAAACAAACAAACAGAGAAGATCTGAATTGCTTACTTTGAACATATTTGCAATTTGTCCTTTATTTGTATGTTATCATTTTTCTTTATTTCCACTTCAACAATTGGAATGAAAACATTTTAGAAGACACTAATCATCTGCTTACCTAGTAATTAGCATTGATGAGTAGAGAGAAAATTTAAGACAGCTGCCAAGTTGACCACTAAAGTGAGGTACGGTTTGCTGGTGCTTGTCATCTGCAGAGCTTTATAATTATAATAATAGCAGTGTAGTTCCACTGTGATGGAAAGTTGACAGTTAACTTTCTCCACTTACCAGACGGAAGAACAATTGAGAAAATTCTAGTTACTCATTTCCAGGTAATTTATCATTAAAGTGATTAAAAAGCTATTTGGGGCCACAGTTATGAACAGTGATAAAAGTTTTTACATATGGATGACATTAACACAGTATTCTTTCTTTTTTAATTTCTAGGGAAAGACTACTATTATTCTAAGGTGTCTTGACAGGTAAGTATTATGTTAACCTTTAGACTACATCTTTGGCTTATTCTAGTTACACAGGACTAGATTCTAAAAGACATATGGCAGGAAAATACTTTTGAGGCCAAATAAAATCTTTTATTCTTAGTGAATCCTTAGGATAGCCTTTAAAAGCTCCTTGAAAGATAGAAACAAAAACAAGCTAAAAATATATTATACAGAATCTACCTATTTGGGGGGAAAATGTTCCCATAACTATCCAGCTAACAATAGTAGTTAACTTATTTTTAAGTATGCTCTAGTAGCATAGTGGTTATGAATCGGGCTGTGATACGCAAGGTCAGCAGTTTGAAACTACCAGCTGTTCTGTGGGAGAAAGATGAGGCTTTCTGCTCCCGTAAAGATTTACAGACTCAGAAACCCTGTACAGGGTCGCTCTGAGACGGAATCGACTCCATGGCACATAACCACCACCACCACCACCACCAATTTACTTTTTGGATTCCTGATATGGTGCTTTAGAATAAACTGGACTGTGAACTTCAAGGTCAGCGGTTCAAACCCACCAGCCACTCTTCAGAAACTCTTACACAGGATTGCTATCAGTTGGAGTAGACTTGATGACACTTAACAACAACACTCTACTTTTTAAAACTATTTTTTTCTAAATACTCTCTGATTAATTGAACATTATCATCTTTAAATTGCTCATGGATATATTTTTAAGTTGATCCTTAAACTATAAATTGTATCATTTGTTTTATAATACTTCTTAACCTCCTATATCTTAAAAGCATACTACCAGAGGAAGATGTAGGATTATAATTAATAGACATTGCAAGAAATTGATTAGGAAAATCTTCAACCAGTTTTGGAAGATATTTCTCTGTTCCCTTTATTCCAATGCCTATTTCTATTTTCCAAAAACATTACAAGAGATGGAATTTGTCCTTATGGTCATGTTAAAGCAGCATTATTTGTTTGAAAACTAAAAGAGAATATGAAAAATACAATCCTCGATTTGTGAAATTCCACCAACAAAATTGCTTCCTAGATAAAGACCCATGCACAGTGAAGGCTACATTATCTTTCTGTTTCCAGGGACCACAGGTCTCCTTAGAGCCACTTTGAGATGTGCTTCCTTACAAATAACTTGTTTAAGTGGGAGGCTGGTCTTCTGCAAAATACTATAATAAATTGAAAATTGTTAAATTCAGTTCTTTAATAGTCTTCAGAAAAAGGGCACATCTGTAAATTGTCAATTAAAAATCAGTTACTATAAATTTTGTCTTAAAAGCAGCATTTCGTTTCATAAAATACTATGTTCTTTCCTTCATGATATATAATCAACTGCTGTATATATAAGGAAGCTTCAAAAAGTTCCTGGGAAAATTCCATTATCTTTTCATTCCATTTTTCCAAGAAGTCTTTGAAGTTCCCTTGTATGTATGCCTTACAGTCAGTTCCAACTTATAGCAATCCTGTATAGGATTTTCAAGAAGCGGCTGGTGAATTTGAACCACTGACCTTGTGGTTCAAACCAATCTTGTGGTCCAGTGGTTTATCCCACAGCTCCACATC